CAATCACGGTTGAGTTGCATAGTTATACCCACAAGCAGCAGGAGGACCAGCAATGAGTTAATGAGCGAGCAAGAAGAGCCTACATGATTATATAAGTTTACTATTTTAGATGTCATATTTAAATTGATTAATCTCGTATTAACTTTTAAAGGACGAGTATACACAACTTTGAGAGAGCCATTCCAGAGCAAGTGAGGGATCTTCTAGGGGATCAGTAGATTATTCTGACTACCACACTTGATCGCAAGTAGTAGCTAGAATACAGAAAAATCAGGTTTATGGTTTAGACTCGCAAGCCTATGCATATGAGGGGCAAATATCTTGTGACTCCAGCTTCTCAATAAGCAACCAGGAATCGTTGTATAGCCAATAGGTAGCTGCCCTGACAACCGAGTAAGATCAAGTCAGAAAATCACAAGCTGACATGCAGATGTATCAAAGTCAGTTATTAGATGAGTTGTAAAAATTGATGGAGCAATTCAGTGGAAAGCAGGCATCATCAGCAGAGGAGAAGATACTAAAAATTTTATTCGTATGTTGGACATTTCATTTATTGACTATTTTAATTTGTTGGATCAGCAAATTATTACTGGAGTTTATGTTTAATTTTAATTTGTTTAATGAATGTTCAATAAAATATTGTGATCAAAACTATTATTACATGAATGTAGCATGTATTTATGTTCAATGTTTGAATGTGAATATGATATGTATATATTTTTAGGAAAATTTATTATGTTGTAGAAAATATGTGAGGGAGTGCTATTTTTTTTAGTTTGAATACAGGTTTTCGGCAGATTTTCAGCCTGAAAATGAAGATACAACGAAAATGTATTGTCTTTCCGATGGTGAAATTTTGCCATAAGTTCTGACGGATAACCTGCAGGAAATTTCACTAGTTAGTATCCGGCGATTTATCTGGTGGAACTTCAGGTAGAATTTTCCTTCGGACTTTCCAGCAGACAAAAACTATCGAAACGAGTGCTTCGCAAACGACAAATATTGCTGCATAATTTCGTCGGAATTATGTTGGTAAATCCGCTCGAAATATATATTTTCAACGAAAAAAATCGTCGGAATAAAGTTTCCGAAGCACGTTTTACCAACGACTGAATTTCTGCTAGAAATACATATTTTCCGGCAGAATTTCTCATTTTCCAGAGGATCTGCGCCACCAATAATGCGAGTTTTTCCTATAGTGGTATCAGTTTTGTCCTTGGTAGTGATAGAGAGTGCCTTCCCTGGTGGTGCAACAAGCATGCCTTAACGGTAATCAAGGTTTAAAATTGCGTAAATAAACCTCGAGGCATTTTTTCATCCGTGAGGCAAGGCGTAAGCCTCGAGGCGGTGTGAGGTGTAATCCTTATGGACGAAGAATTGCGTAAATGAGAATTTAAGTATTTTAGCAGGTAAATAACAATAAGAGTCTATGATACAATAAAAACATCTAAATAAGAAGTGAACTTAGTGGAAAACAATAAAATATATGCAATATATGCATCTCATAGCATAATTCAAAGTACAAAATCACAAATTGAAGTCTAACAAAAGTCAAACTCCCTAAGTACAAATAAGAAAAACATCTAAAATCTAATCATGTCTTATCACTAAATAGGTCTTCAAAGGAGGCATCTTCATCTTCAATTGTATCTATGAATGTCAAATCTTCATCTTCAATTGGTAATATTGAAATATTACCAATTTTTCTCTTCCATGTTCAATAAATTGGCATTTTTAGCCTCATCTGAAGCTTCAACTGATCGTAAAAATACCGTGCCAAAGGAATTGTTGACAAATATATTAATCATGCTCCTGCACTTCATGTCAGACCATCCATCTAACATAATGGTAACACCTGTCTCACTTCATATCCTTTTAATCTCATCAATACTCAACTGTGTTCTACAGCTCCTCCAAAATCTATGTTTGCAACTCGTACATAGAAGGTGCCTTCAACCCTTGCCCATACAACCCTACAGATCGCAACATATTAAAGTAGGCTGGCGGTGTCGCTATATTAAATGGAATGGCATTCTCAAAAAGAATCTGTCAATATCCATGCACGTCTCACCCTTAATTGCACAATTGAGCCTCTGAGACGCGCCTCATGAGCCATGAGGCGTAAGCCTCACAAAGTCCCAAAATTGCTTAAGCATTGAGGCTCTTTGAGGTAGAATTACGCAGCCTCTTATTGTGCAATTTTAAACTATGATGGTAGTGGTGAGCATTGACATTGTAGGCGTAAACAAAAATCAGCCTTAGTAATGGTGGCAGATGTTTCCTTTAGTGGAAATAATGAGTGTCAGACGTGGTGATCCCAACGAGAGTCGGCTCTAGTGGTAGCATTGGGTGTCACCCTAAATGGGGCAATGGGATTCAACCATAATGGTGGTGGCAAGCATCAACATTCGTGTTGACAATGGACAGCAATGTTGATAAAGATGGTGGGCACCAGCATTGATGTCAATAACAAGCGTCAGCTTGGTGACAATGATAGGAGTCATATTTGCTGATGACAATGGACATTGGCCTTAGTAGGGATGGTAGATGTTGGTGTTAGTGTCGACAAAAGGTGTCTTCCATACAAAGGCGAAGGGTGTATGCTTTGGATTTGATTGCAGATGTTGAACATAGTGGTGATGGCAAACATAAACTTTGGTGACAATAACAAGCATCAGCATTGGTAGTCACGGAGAGCATCAGCCTTAGCAGCGACGACAACATCGACAATGATGGCAATGGTAGTCATCATCCATAATGGCAATTGCAAGTTTCAACTTTAATGGTGATAGCGTGCATCAATCTTATTAGCTAGGGGGTATCAATGTTGTTTGTAACGATAAACATTACTCTAGGTGGTGATGATGGGCATTAGCCATGGTGGCAAAGATGGACATCAACCATGTTGGTGATAACAATCATCAACCTAGATGGAGATGACGAGCTTCATGACTGGTGTCTATGAGGGTGTTGGCCTTAATGGTGGGGACAGGCTTTAGTATTGGTTGCAACAAAGGGATCAGCCTTATTAAGGACAGTGAACGTCAACCTTGGTATCAATACCGGGCATCAACATTGGTGACGATGGCCGGCATCAAAGTTGATTGGGACTACCGGTGTTAATAATGGTGTTAGTAGTGTGCATCGACCTTGATGAAGGCAAACATTAGCCCTGCTGGTGAGGGCAAGCATCAGCCTTGTTATTGAGACCACCTTATTATCAAGGGTAGAACACTAGCCTTTTTGGTAAAGGAAGGTACCAGCCATGATTGTGAGGGTGTGCATCTGCATTGATGGCGCCAAAAAGCATCGACCTTAGTAGCGATGGCGAGTGTATGCCTTAGTATCAATGGCAAGTGTCAGGCTTGATGACAATAGCTAGCATCGACCTTAATGGTGAAGGAGAGCACCCGCATTGATAATTATGACCTTGGTGTGGATGACATGTGTCAATACAAGTGTTAACAATAAGTACTAGTGTTGTTAGTGACAGCAAGCTTTGTCATTACTATTAATGATAGGCATCGGCCTTGGCGGTGATAGAAGTTATCAGCGGTGATCGATAGCCAACATGGGTACTAGCAATTAGAGCTGTGGATTCTTTTAACCGGAATCCTTATTGAGGTCCCGAAAAGGTTTCTAGAGAGTGGCATTCTAATCATTTCAAAAAGAAATTAGAACACTCCATCGAATAGTCAATTTCAATATCCCTCAATACTATTTTTAGGCATATTTCTTCGTTAATGATATCAAAAGTAAGTGATTTTGTATTCATCAAATCCACTTGTCAAAATTCTCATTTCTACTACAAGCTTGTAAAAATCAAAGGTCATTTGGTAACTCAAATGGTCCCATAAAGTTCAAATTTTGTTGTCAAATGTTTGACTTGGGTAAATCCAGACAAATCAAACCACTTGAGGTATTGTTCGATTTGTCTCATTCTACAATATTATATGATCACAAAATTGGTTCTAGTAATTTATAGTTCGAATATTTTAGTGCTTTAAGAACTACAAATTTGTGTCAAGATCCATAGTTGATCATATGAATTTTAAAGTGACATATCAAAAGCAATGAGAACATATTGATGATATAATTTGCATAAATTTTCTTCTTTCTCAAAGAAGTCATTCAAAACTCTGAAACGCTTCTAGATCCTTCATTTATAATTCATTATGAGAGCTTAGTGAGTTGTATTTATACGTTGGGATTTCATATCTTTTGTTTTTCTTCTTTCCTCCACCTCATTTACCTAGCGAGCAGATTGTGCTAGAAGTTGTTAGTTCCTTGCCTTACGAAAAGACATTACGACCTAGCAAAGTTAGCGATATCTGGCTTCTTGCTTTAAAGTAGAATCGTTCGGATGGCTCCATTACCCATCAAGGAGATCTTGTGAGACAGCTTAAGCTACATTCTACGTGCTCCATCAAAAAAGAACCCAAAGCAAGAAACACCCAACGTGATTCCAACAAACAAACTTCTAATTGGCAGGATAGAGCCTACATGACTTTTCCCGTCAAATGTGAGGTAAAAATCAAGCTTTAGTTGACCGAAGATGGCAGCTTACGATGTAAAATCATTAAGCATGAAAGAATTAATGCAAAAGCACCATAAAAACATCAGAACGAGCTTGCTAGTCTATTTGCAGACGTTCAGAAGGGCAGTGCTACACTAAAACACCCCTCGAATATTACTAAAAAAAATCACACACATAAACAAACAAATGAGAGTCGGCAACAGATATATAATAAAGAACTTGGCCTCCTCAGCGCAATATGAAAAACGCGAAATTATCAGACAAAAAATTTTAGAATTTGTGAATCTTTCAGAAGAGTTCCCGTTTCTTCTTAGAAATGCAAAGTCTACATATTCTCCAGGTTAGAACACCAATGGAACATTAGCTCCGAACAATTCATCAAGGAAAAGTAACAAATAATCCATAGATGAGCCGCATTCGCAGCTAAAAAATGGAAAATTAATGAATTTTAGGAGAGACCCACCTGCAAAAGCCTAGCTCGGACAGACTAGAAGCTGAATAAAGTGGAACTGGAGATGCGCGCAAAGAGACGCTGAAGATCAGTGAAAACCCTAAGTATAAACATATGAGATAGTATTTGCAGAGATCGGGGGGAGGACATATTTAGATCACATATTTTCGCAATAAAGTTTTCGATGTCAGGTTTTTTAATAGTATTTATTAGGGTTTGAGGTGGCAAAAGTCCGGTAGTCAGTGTGATGTTCACATTGAAAAACCGAAACTTTTTGCTGGACAACCGCCGAGATTCTCTACGGGGATTTTTTAAAGGCAATGAGCATCTCATAATCTTAAAGTTAAATACTTACTAATTCTGCGTGATTTGACACATTATTTTATTTTATTGTCGTGAACGACTATTTGAATGATGAGGAATGCGACTAATTTAAAAAAAAAAATTAAAATGTATTAAATAACTACTATAAATAATGAAACTTTTTTTTTGGGAAAATTTGAGGCGAAATCACATATATTTCTATGAAATAAAAACATTACAAGTAAAATTGAAAAATTAACCCATCAGAAGCTAAGAAACAAAAATTAGCTAATAAGGGGATAAAAACGAAAACTATATCACTCAATACATCCAAAAAATCAATGTAAAAAACAAAAATGTGGTAGCAGAATCATATCTTGTAGGACTCAGGCTGCAGTCCAAGCAGTAAATCAACTAGAATTTAGCTTCAACGATACTCTGATAGTTCCCTGGTTGCCCCGAAGACCCTCCAAGGGGAGCGTGGAGCTACAGCAATCATCATTGTCCTCAAAAGAAACCTCTGGCGATAGGGGCATCACTTCTGGTTGCCCCGAAGGCCATCCAGGATAAATGGGTAGAACCAGCAGAAAGAGAAAAATCATGCACCAAGCTCTTGTGAAGACAAAATGCATTACACCTTCCATCCATGCAACCAACAACAAAGATTGTACCAGGCAGAGAAAACTCTAAGTAACCAATACAACTAACAGTGGTTCCAACAACAGTAACAGCAGTATAGGTGAGAACCCAACCCAGGGAAACTAGATGCCCAACAACAGCAATTCCTCCAACTAAAGTAGTTCCAACAGAGAATGCTCATTTTTCCATTTCAAAACCTTGGAAAAAACTGCGCTTTTTATTTTTTGGCTAATGGTAATGGAAGATGCAAAAACATTAAAAACTTCATATCATTCCTTTCCCTCCAAAGATGATAAATCGCACTGCAAATAATAAAAAGACTTGAGTTTAACATGAACATTGCTAGAGCAATCAAAAGCCAGAAGAATATTTGGTCTAAGTAGTTGACTAGCCATATTAGGGAAAAGGTTTGTAATTACCGGAAAAGAATAATCACATTCGAAAAAAATGTGAGAAGTGGTTTTATTGACTTTGTGACAGAGGGGGCAGCAAGAATTAACGTTAATACCCTTAGAATTAAGAACATCATCAGATTTTAGTCCGCCTAGAATGGTCATCCAACCAAAGGATGAAAATCTAAATGAGTGGTGTTTGTGCCATACTAAATGATGCCAGTTATTCAAAGATTCATTCCTGTAAAGAAAATTATGATAAGAGCTATAGGAATTATCCTTCCCATCACCCCAAGTCAGGCAGCACGTAGCATTAGAAGCTATAGAAATATCGAAAAACAGATGCAGAAGAGAAGCAGAGAACTGTGAAGGTAGATTCCAACCATACTCATTTAAAATAACAGAAGTCCTAGCAATGTCAGGGAAGTGATTAAGGATTTCTTGCACACAAGGAACTTCATGAAGTTGAGAGCCTTTAAACCAATGCTCCCAGTAAAGCGAGATGGGAATCTTGTTTGAAATGATAAATTTAAAATTATTCTTTGCATCATTGGTAACCTTACATACATTTTTCCAGAAAGAGGAAGACTTCACCGCAGGAGGTTTCCATGGTGAAACATATTTATGAAATACCCACGTAGTGAGGGGGCTGTTGTGATTGTATAATCTCTTAATAAGAGAGCAGAGATAACTGAATTGCACATAATGGAGAGAAGGGAGACCAAACCCCCCATAAGCTTTAGGCTTGCATGTTTTCTTCCAGGAAATGGGGTGCAATTTACGTGTAGTAGTATCTCCAAAGTAAAGAAACTTAGTACCGAGTGTCTCAATTTGCTTAATGATGGTTTTGGGTATAATGGACCCACTGATCCAATAAGCGATTGTGTTAGATAGTGAACCACAAAAATTGTAATCTACCAGTAAAAGAGAGAGCTTTCGCTTTCCATCCAGAGAGTTTGTGAGTAAAAATTTCCATTAACTTAAAGAAATCAAAGAGCTTAGGATTGTAAGGGGATATCAAAATCCCAAGGTAAGAAATAAAAGTGGAGATGTAGGGTATATTAAGGATAGAACTGATTAGATTGGCATTATGATAGTTATTGGGTAAGATGAGAGAACTTTTCCCAAAGTTAACCTCAAGCCTGAAGCCACATAAAATTAACTTCTCAATCAATCGACAAAGAATCTCACAGTTGTGAATCTCAGCCTTTCAAAATATAAGGAGGTCATCAGCATACATAAGATGGGAGAATCTATTGCCATCCACCAGAGGGGCCTCAATCATAGCTTCATTATCCAAGAGACAAGAAAAAGAATCCATGACAATACAAAAAAGATAAGGACTTAAAGGGAAGCTCTTCCTAAGACCAACAGAGGAGGGGAAGAAACCTTAAAGAGCACCATCAATGCAAATAGAGAACCATACATCATTAATACAAGCACTAATCCACTTGATAAATAAGTGAGGGAAGCCTTTCTGAATCATCCTAGCAATAAGAAATTCCCTGGATACACTATTAAAAGCTTTTTTTATATCTAGTTTGGCACATAACAGCTTGAACTTGGTAGAATTCCTAGAGTGGTAAATGATCTCATTAGCGAGAATAACATTATCAGTGGATATCCTTTTATAAATAAATCCAATTTGATTCCCTTGGATGATAAGAGGCATAATAGATTTCATCCTAGCAGCTAAAATTTTTGTTATAATTTTATAAGTGGTATTGCATAGTGAGATAGGCCTGAAGTCTAAGATAGCTTCTGTATGATTAGTTTTAGGAATGAGTGTAATGGAAGTGGCCTTAGCAGCACGAGGAATGTAAGCATTATGGTAAAAATATTTCACAGCTTTGCATATCATAGGATCGGTCACAATCCAAGTGGATTTGAAGAACTCAAAGTTGAATCCATCCGGGCCTGGAGTAGAGTTAGAAGCTCCAGAGAAAACAACCTTTTTAATTTCAGCATCTGTAAAAGGAATGTTAAGAGATAATATACACTTAGGAGGGATAACATTACCCACCAAGAATCAAAGGATATCAAAAGACAGTCGAATAAAAGGATTGTAAAGTCCTTGGAAATTAGAGATTGTGTCACTAGCTGCATCGGAGAAGAAGAAGGATGAGTTGGATATGGCAAGGGAGATGACAATTCTCCGATAATTCCTTCTGAGGTGAATCTTTGAATATAGAAATTTAAGATCATCTTCTCCCTGAGAAATCCATTTGATTTTATCCCTTTGAGAAATCCAAGAGAACCACTGAGAAGAAGCATCAGCCACTTGGATATTAATGTTTTTAAGTGCCAAGGAGATATACTCATTGTTGAAATCCTGATTTAACAACCTAAGGCACTCTTCTTGCTTCCTATGAAGAGAATCCATATAAACAGCTACTAAAATAGAGCATGCCCAATTCTTACATTTAATATCTGCTTTGAGTTATTTGAGCATGGAGGAAAGGGTGGCAAAAGGTTGTCCCCTATAACTCACAGAGAAGTTAGTGAGGAGTAAGAACCAAAACTGTTCTGATTTAGCCCAATAATTCTTAAATAGAAATCTGTGCTGAGAGGAAATCTATCACCCAGCAATAGAATAATGGGACTATGATCTGAGCAATAAGGTGTTTAGATAACATAGTGAGCGTTGGGAAAAGTGGACATCCATTCATCATTTACTAACATGCGGTCTAGCGTAATGTGAATGGGATTCATAATTCTCTGATTGTGCCAGGTGTAGGAGAGCCCCACCGAAGCCAGGTCATGGAGGTTAGCATAAAAAATGAGACTATTAAAATAAAAAAGGTGATTTTGGTGTAGAACATTTCCACCCAACTTGTCGGAAGGGTAACGACAACAGTTAAAATCCCGCATAATAATCCAAGGGGTACCCCCAGGGGTTCAGATGGCCTTAATCTCTTCCCAAAGAACTTTTCTTTCCTCCTGATTATTGGAGGCATATACAACAGACAGTAAAAAAGGTATATTCATCCCATAAAGAATGGTACCGACAATCATTTGAGAGGAGATAAATGAGGGCTTAAAAAGAAGCCTATCAGCAATCCATTTCAACCAAATTCTTCCATGATTGGAGAAATGGAAATTATTACAACTATCCTTGAAATCAAACACCCAGTGTTTGTTGCAAAATATGTGTTGACGAGAGAAGAGAGTTGAATTCTATTTTTAAGAATACAAATCATATCCAGTCCAAGGGATTGGACCAAGCTTTTGTAGTTAAACACTTTATCAGAGGAACAAAATCCTATGATATTCCAAGAAGCTGTTGAGGGATTATCATTTAGATTTGGATGTAGGTGTGGGATGCTTTTTGGATCCTTTTCCCCTAGTAGATTTGGGTAAGGTGTTGATGGGTATTTTAGAGTTAGTGTGATGTGGAGGTTCAAATGAAGGGGTGGGAGATTCTGGATGAGAGTTTACAAGTGCCAGGGGGATTGTTTCCTTGGTCTTCACAATTTTGGAGTGTGGTAAATTGGTTTTTTGTTGAAATGATAGGTGTATTCAAAGAAGTAGATGGCTCAGGTTCCAAATGTCCAAGGCATTCATCAGTGGGTGAGTTGAGATTAGGAATATAGGAGTTGTGTGAGAGAGTGGGCACAATAAGAAAGGGGATGGATTTGAGTGAAGTGATGCAGGATGAAGAGGCGGTCATAGAAATCAGTTCAGAGACCTGCGACGTAAGGGAAATGGTAGTGGTGGTATACTGGGTGCTTGGGATAATGACTTGAGTGGGAAAAAAAGCCAGTGAAGAATTGCCTGAAGGCTCAGAAATGGTAGAGGTAGTGATAGGGCTATGGGTTTGTGCAGCAACGCCATTAGTAAAAGGTCGAACACTAGGAGCATGCAGGAGGAGTTCTTCCTACGAGAGTGGCAAGAGGTGCTGCAACCTCTATGAGGCTGTAGGTCCTATTGTTG